ATAAGATTGAATACCTTTTTGCTTGCGTCTCCATATATCGCGGGTGGTGAAACGCGCCAGCGTCTGATAACATTACAAACGAAAGATCGATCTGCTGGCCAGATTTATTTATGAATTATTAACATGTTGTATAAGTTAAATATAAATAAAATCTTGTGTTCCGTTATGATCGCGATCTATCCCCCCAGTAATTAATCAATAACTAACAAAACGACTTAAAATAAAAGATTTGTGTTGTAATGTTTAATGTATTCTTGTTGATGAAATTGACTGATTGATTTAAAAACATATTGGTATCGGAAAAAAAAATTATCTTCAGGAACCAGTATCGAAATCAAGGTATTGTGGTACATGTGATATGTTTTACAGTAAGGGATTCACTACCACTGGGTAATCTACTGCAGAGCTTCATAAATATATATAAATACCGTTATAAGCTTTTTTGGTCAGGTTTGTTCAATAGGGGTGAAAGGAAAGGATGAGCATCACTTATTATGGCTGGCATCTGCCATTTATACCATAGGTAACAGAATAGAAGCTAAAGTTACATTTACGTTCAGATTTTGCACTTTTTCCAATGCTTCTTGCCCTTTGTCTCAAATTCCTTCAGAGTCAAATAATTGGCATGAGAGTATATAGGCAGTATTAATAAAACATAGTATATAGGTAGTATTAATAAAACATAGTATATAGGCAGTATTAATATAACATAGTATATAAGCAGTATTAATTTCCAGCTGACGAAACTGTAAAGATATTAGGGTGTAGAGTTTAAATGGGTGAAAACCTCACCGATTCATGTAGTTCATAGGGATCGATGTCTGTCCCTTGCGGTGACGAGCGAGTTGGTCCGTCTGCCTGCGGTAGGTTCCCAGCCGCATCGTTTTCGGGGACGGCTCACTGTGACCTGCGCTGATCCCTTGTCTCTCCTTCAGCACCCGTCCCTGGGACCCCCTGAACGATCTGATTCAGTTTGAGAAAGACGGCTGCATCCAGACCAATGTGCGCCATCGCACTCCCATGGTACGTTCTGGCAGTGTAGTTAGTCTCAGTGTCCAAGGGGCCAGGAGAGACCAATACAAATGTCAGGTAGGTTGGTCTGCATTTTCTCCCAGAGTTCCCTCTGCTTCAGTCTCACTCCCGCCTGCGCTAAGCCCAGCCTCTCACCAGCGCCATCACCTGGCTGCTTCCTGTGGCCTCTCCAAATTTCAGTTACGTTCTTTATCTCATTTTTTTTTTTGGACATTCATCTGCTTTGTTGTGTTGGCCAAAGCTGCTTTGCAGGTGTAGTGAAGATTTATTGAATAATTGATTGCTTAATTATTTAGTTTATTTTTTAAGGGTTTGCACAAGTCTTAATTGTCAGTGGCTGCTTGTGCACTTCTGCATGCTTTGCAGCAGGGCTGGGTGATGCCGCGTCGATATTATACCGCGCGTGCGCAGTAATCACCAGGGCTTCAGATGACGTGCGAAACATAGTAACCTGTATAAACTTCCTGTATGTTTTACGTAAAGTACATAATACTGTTCTGTTATGCTATGGTTTGGTATACTTCAGTACGATATGCAGTGAAGCGGCAGTGAAGGAAGGGACAGCTCAGCAGCCGGGACATGTTATGGATAAACAAGTTAAAAAGGTCAAAAGATGTTGGCGATGTGGCGGTTATTTTGCAATTCAAAGTTTGACACATTCATTAAATGTAAGGATATGCCGAATTTATAATGATTAAGTTTTAGGCCGAGAAGCTGGGGTCCAGCCAAATCTTTCTGAAGCCCTGGTGATTATTGCACATGTGTGATATAATATCGATGCGATATTGCAAGCCCTACTTTGCAGCCATGCTCTGCAGTCATGCTCTGCATCAGATAAGCGTATATATGCGATATTGCCTGTAAATGCATATTAGCATGCGTTTGCCTGTTTGAGGCCTGAATTCCGAGTCCCGTCACAGTGGTGTGTTAGCGTTGTGCCGACGAGATGCCCGCCCCCTACAGGTCACCGTGCCCAAGCGCAAACACAAGCAAGGCGATGCAGCTAAGAGCAAAGTGAGTGGCGGCTCGTCCCCAGAACCCGAGCATCACGACTCGTCCGGCAGCGAGAGTGAGTCCTCCCTCGAAGCTCGCATTTTATATTGAAGGAGCAGGCTAACATGAGAGCGCCTCTGCCAGATGCAGCATAAATGACCTGAATAAAAACTTAAGACACTCCCATTTGTTCTCTGCTTACAGTTTTCCCCATTTTACCTTGTCATTGTGTCTTATCTACATGTGATGCGTTTTTCTTTTCAGGACACAAGAGCAAGCACAGCAGCCGCTTAAGGAAGAAAGGGGCTGACCTGAGTGAACTTCAAAGTGCCATTGAATCCATAAGACGAACCCAGGAAGACATTAACAGGTATCCTTTTTGCTCTCCCAGTAGTTATTTAAGCGAGGGCTCCTGGGTTCTGATTGACATGTGGACGATTCCGTCTCTGTATTCCCCAGGAACATCGCCACCCTGCGTGGCCTCTTGGCACCTGTGCACGGCCATGCCGACGGCAGCATCCTGCAGCACCGTGACTTCATCCTCGTGATCTTCCTCGTCCTGATCCAGATCGTCATCAACTTCCTGTTCAAATGAGGGTAGCCTGCATTTACGGACTCGGGCGTTTTGAATGGGACCTGGA